ACGGAACAGTCGGCAACCAGGCAGTCGGCAGGGAAGCCGGCCACAGGGGAGAGGTCGACCAGGAAGTCGACCGAGGTGCAGCAGGAGGACGAGGGCAGTGCAGACGGTGACGAAGGAGGGGACGCCGGGGAGTCCACCAAGAGTGACGTGGTGGAGGTTCGGCCTGAACCCCGGAAGTCGGATAGACTTCGGAGGCCGCCGGACTTCTTCGTCCCCGCTGCCTTCACCACGGTGTACGACGTGGACGATGACGACGACCAGCCGTACGACGACGCCGAGGAGGATGAGGAGTTTCCGGAGCTCGACCCGGACATGCTGGCCGACCCCGAGCACCGTTGGGACATCTCGACGATGACGGAGAAGGAGGCTTTGGCGAGCTGGAAGGGTCCGGCGGTGAAGGCCGCAATGGAGGAGGAGATCCGCAGCCTCATCAACATGGGCAGTTGGGAGCTGGTCGAACGCCCGCCGGGGGTCAACATCATGAAGAACCGGTGGGTGTTGACGACGAAGAAACACGTCGACGACACCGTCGAGCGCGAGAAGGCGAGACTGGTCGTGAAGGGCTTCACGCAGGTGTATGGCGCGGACTACGACGAGACGATCCCGCCGGTGGGCAGCTACGTCACGCTGAGGATCTTCCTCAGCATCGTCGCCGTCCTCAACCTCAACCTAATGCAGCTCGACATGAAGAACGCCTTCCAGCAGAGCAAGCTCGACAGGGTGCTCTACATGTCTCAGCCGGACTACTTCAACGACGGAACCGGCCGGGTGTGCAAGCTGCTGAAGAGCCTGTACGGGCTGAAGCAGTCGCCGCTGTTGTGGTACTTGGCGCTCAACGACGTGCTCGTCGGCGCCGGGTGGAAGAAGAGCCAGGTCGACGAGGCTCTGTACTTCAAGGTCGGCGACGACAGAGTGGCCTGCTGGGTGCTGGTCTACGTCGACGACCTGCTCGCCGCCAGCAGCAGCACCGAGATGCTGAAGGAGCTGCTGGAGTCCGCCTTCGAGCTGCGTGAGATCTCGCTGGTGCAGAAGTACCTCGGGCTGGAGATCGTCCGCAACAGGTCGGCGGGGAAGCTGTGGCTGCACCAGCAGGGCTACGCCGACAAGCTGCGTAGGCGCTTCATCGACGAGGAGCAGACCGCGCGCACCCCGAAGACGCCGGTCTCGGTCGACGCCTACGCCGAGCTCACCTTCGACGACAAGGAGGCACAGGAGCGACAGGAGGAGGAGTACCGGCAGAAGGTCAGCTCGCTGCAGTTCGCAGCGACGACGATGAGGCCGGACATCGCCTTCGCCTGCAGCAAGCTGGGGAGTGGCCTCACGGTGAGGAGCGACCAGCACTGGCGCGAGGTCGACCGCTGCCTCACCTACCTCGCCAACACGCGTGACATCGCCCTAGAGTTCGGCGGTGGACCTGAGTCGCTGGAGCTGGTCTGCTACGTGGACGCCGACGATGCCGGTGACAAGCAGAACAGGACGAGCACGGGCGGCTACGTGTTCGTCTACGGAGGGGCCGCAGTCTCCTGGTCGAGCCAGCGCATCAAGTGCGCAACGTTGTCGTCGACCGAGTCGGAGTACGTGGCGGCCACCGAAGCCGGCAAGGAGGGACGCAGACTTCGCTTCCTCCTCGCAGAGTTCCAGCAGCTGGATGCTGGGAAGCCGACTGTCCTTCGGGTGGACAACAAGTCGGCCATCACAGTCGCCGAGGGCATGGGGTTGACGGGCAACCTCAAGCACATGGAGCGGCGACAGGCCTGGCTGCAGCACATGGTGAAGCGCGGGAAGTTCTCGCTGAGGTACATCCCGACCACCGAGCAGCCGGCCGACTTCCTGACGAAGGCGCTGCACTATCAGGCCTTCAACCGGTGCTCCGTCGCCATCGGCCAGGTGCGCTTGGCCGACGTGGGCGACGAAGATGATGACGTGCAGCAGTAGGTGCCATGCCCTCTTGCATGGCTGATGCGGTGGACGACGTGCTGTGTGTTGGGTGCACGTCGACGAGCTTTTCTCCGAGGAGTACTGCCGTGTGGGCTGGGGGTCCAAGCGTGAACGCGGCAGGGGAGTGTCAACGGGAGTTGTGTGTTGGCCCCGTCCTCGCTTGGGCGGAGCCGACTTTGTGGTCGGGCGTGAGGGGAGCAGCCGACCTGCAGCAGTGGGCGAGCTGGTTGACGAAGAGGTCGACCTGCACGGGGGCCACTGCACGGGCGCCGACTTCAGGGTGGCGCCGACTTCAGGGAGGTCGACCTGGGAAGTCGACCTGCGGAGGGCGTCAACTTGGTGGACGCCAACTTCAAGGCAGCCGACTTGGGTGGTCGGCTGACAGGACTGCTGGACGACCTGGTGGTTGGTCGACCCGGCCTGCTGGTCGACTTGGTGGTGGTCGACCAGGCGTGATGTCGACCTGGTGGTCGACCAGACCTGGTGGTCGACGGAGGAGGGGCCGACGTCGACCTCGACTCAGGACGCCGAGCAGCTGGGCGTCGAGTAGCAGGGCGTCAACTTGGTGACGCCGACTTGGGGTGGTCGTCGAATTGGGAGGTCGACGGGCACATACAGGAGCAGCTGGTCGACGTGGTTGCCCGGTCGACCAGGTTACCTGGGTGACGAGGTTCTGCGGAGGAGTGCGACAGTCGCCCAGGCGAAGTTGGCGAGTCCGACCTCGGTGGTGGTATCCCGAGGTCGACATGGCGGATCAGGAACGGTCGTCAGCACGAGGACGACCTGGTGTGTGCGTTGTGCAGGTGACGAGGCTTAGTCCGCCAATCATCTGCGAGCACCTGCGAAGTAGGTGCGCTGCTGTTCTGCGGGAGCAACGCTGGCACGCCGTCAACCTGCAGTGTTGGCACGCCGTCGACTTTGCACTGCTGGAGCGACCAAGTCGTCCTGGAACGCGGTCGACCATGCTGCGCTGGCAGTCGACCGACCTGAATGCTAGCTCTGATGTAGTCTTGCCATGCCAACTTCATTGTAACCATTGTTGTCAACTTTCTGGTGAAACTCTTGCCAATTTGCCCCGTGAACTAGCAAGCAGTGTGTGCACTAGGAAAACGACTAAGGACCAACGAATGCGGAGATCACACGAGCACCCGTGCCTAGCCCGTAGTCTAGCTCCCGTTGTAGTAGTTATCTCCGCAAAGCGAAGTCGGTTCAGCCCCCTGAATTCGACCAATGGGAGCAAGGGAAGGAGAAAATGGTGGTGCTCTGGGTAGGAGAGCCAAACTCAGTTCAGCCTACTGATTTTGACCAATGGGAGTTGACGGAGTACTTCAAGGAATCAGTTTGACCTCGAATCTAATGATCAATCAGAGTGAGCCTCGCTTGCTCGCGGGGCAAGCTCGCAGATGTTCGCGCAACCACTTTTTGAAGTTTTGATTGGTTGCTTCTCGGCGAAGTGTTTCGTCAATAAACATCGCCACGTAAAGGCTGACGAGATTGTTACCTGCTACAGGGAAGAGCTTGTGTATCAACTCTTGAGCTGGTTGACTGATCGAGAGTCGTGAGTGTAACCACTCACCCTCGCGACACAAGTGATGTAACACCACGTACTAATGGGGTGTTCATGCGAGTAAGTGCCACGTGGCAGATGACCATTTGTCAGCAACGCGACTTTTTGAACAGGTCGCGCCTTCAAAAAATAGCTCGCTGATCAAGCACCAAATTGACATCCAAACTAATTTGCACGGGCCAATCTTTACTGTTTTGAAAAAGGCACGAGATTTTGGATCAAACGAATCAGCACAATTACTCTAAATGTTTTGTTGGCAAATTGCGAGCTCACCAACCAAGTTACAAAATATGAAATAGGCAAACGCGAAAGTGAACGCGCTGTGATAATAGGAACAACTAGCAAGGTTAGAACAGCTACCATTAGGGCGTATTAGAATTCATATAAAGCTGTATGTCGTGACAAATATATATTTAGAAAAAACAACTTGAGTGGATTTCTTCCTCCTGTGTCTGCTACGACAACGTTGCCAGAATTCACAAAAAAAAAATGACTACTACTACAACCCTATTGCTGCTACTATGACTCTCTTACGACATACTTGAACCCTTGGATAGGCGCTGACCTTGGTCAGGCACCCAAAGACCCTTAGAGGTGACCCCGAGGAGAGGTTTGAGGTATCAGCAAGGCTATTTGTAGCTAGGCTAATGCGTATTAGAAGCACAGTTACGGATGAAATAAATCCTAACCTGGTTCGGCCCGGGCCGAACCGGTTTGGATTTTACCGGTTTGGATTTTACCTGGGCAGAACCCAATACAGTGTCGGCACGGGGGGCGCAAGTGGAGTTGCAGAATAGTCAGCATTGTTTGTTCTGATTACCTGAAACTCCTTGTCTTCTTGCTTGCGTGTGGCATCTAGGTTGTGCGACCAAGACTTCTTTCATGAGTTTATAAGGTCATGTGATTTTTTACAATGCATGCTTATCACCAGGCTCAGACAAGGAACTTCATACAGATACGTGAGTTGAGAAAGCAAGAAAAAATCCGTGGTAATGGACCCTGTCAAAGCGTTGCTCGAAAGAGACCTCTGTGTGTGTGGTATGGATTGGGGAGGGATCAGTGAGGTCATGAGATTAGTGGGTGTGGGATTGGACTGAACGACAGCAAGTACACTCGGTCGACCGGGGACGACACAAGAATAATGAGGGGCAGTCGCGAGTTACGAATCGCAGTTTAGTTCAACGCAAGCAGTACGACGAATCATTCGTGAATGATGGCACACCCAGTTGGACGAATTTGTGGTACTAGGCGGGGAGGCGGAGGGCCAAGAAGAGGAGTGTGGTACATTCAGCCAGTTTCTTGACTACCCGAAATCCTTTCCTTCTTCCTTGCACGTGGCATCTAGGTTATGTGACGAAGAATGTTCTATCAAGGTTTTACAATCTATGTATAAATTCAAATATTCAGAATGCCATTCTACTCCAGTAACAAACTTATGATAGATTGCTTTAAACACGCATGTGTAGCACCGAGCTAAAAACGAGGTGCTTCATACAGAAAAGAGAGTTGAGAAAGCTCGGCAATGCTGTTGGGAATGGTGCCCGTCAGTCTATTGTTTGCAAGAGACCTGTGTAAGCGTGGTATGGGTTGGGACAAACGTGACAAGATGAGAATAGTGGGCGTTGTATGGGTTGGAGCATGGCATGGGTTGGGTTGTGAAAGCTAAATATTCATAATGCCATTCTACTTCAACAATAAACTTATGATGAACTGCCTTGATCTTGCATGTGTAACACCAGGCTGAAACGAGGTACTTCGTACAAAAAATCGAGCCGAGAAAGCTCGGAGATGTTGTTGGGAATGGAGCCCGTCAAATTGTTGTTTGCAAGATTCCTGTGTGTGCGTGGTATAGGTGGGGGCGGAATAAGTGATGAGACGAGGACGCGGTGCAAGTGTCGATCGATCACCACATGAACCTTCCGGAAACGTTTAAAACCCAGGGTATACGATCCTGAGAAAGTTGAGGTTCGGCCCGGTGAAGAACCGGAACAATTCACCCAGGGCCGAACCAAGTTCGGAAGATGCTCATGCCTAGATTCAGGCAGGATTAAAAGCCGAATTGCACTTGACTCATGCAAACGGGTTCATGCTTGACTCTGATTGCTAGAAACGGTTCGAGTCGCAAACCCAGTTTGACGAATTTGTGGTTCTCGTGGAACCTGGACTGGGAGGAGGAGGGTCAGGAAGAGGAGTTGCGGGATATATAGCCTGAAGTGGGTGCCAATGTCACACATATGGATATATAATTCTACCAAGTCAACAATTCTCGCGATATTTGACATGGTATAGAGCTAGGTAGGTCGATGCCTTTTTTTAGCTTCCGACGCGCCTAGCCCGAACCTAGCCCGAACCTAAGAGATATTCTGCCGCGCGTTCGTGTCGCCTAGCACGCGACCCTGCGGGCCCCGTTTTGTCGCCCATTAAAGGCCTCGCCGTGGGCCCGTTTGGTCGTCGAAGAGACGCCCGCTCCTGCTACTGCCGCTACTTCCCCTGCTTCGGACGCTGCTGCCCCTGTTACTGCGGCTACAGTGGCTACCGCCTTGTCACTGCTACTACAACCGCTACAGCCCTTGCTACAGTCGCTGCCGCCCCTGTTACTGCCGCTACCGGCCCTGCTACAGCCGCCGCCGGCCCTGTTCCTATATTTTGTACTTATACTTTTTATATCCTAGCTTAGTGTAGTGTGCACTTTGTGTTGGTTGGGTGTACACAATATCCCAACCAATCCCAAATGTAATCTCGAAGCAATCTCCAACCCACCAATTGGAGATTGCTTTGGGATTACCCCCAATCCCTAGAGATTGCCTCCGATTCCCTCCCCATCTATTCCTTGCGCATCCTTGTTGTACCTAAACAGCCTCAATTTCATTACTAATGCATGGATTATAAGCTCTAGTTCTGAAAACTGCCACCGGTGCAGCTGCTGCCACAGCTGCCGCCAGAGCCGCCGCTGCCTGCGGAGATAATTAAAGAAGCGGGAGCTAGACTACGGGCTAGGCACGAGTGCTCGTGTGATCTCTGCGTTCGTTCGTTCCTTAGTCGTTTACTCGTGCTTGCACTGCTTTCTGGTTCACGGGGAAATTTGGCAAGAGTTCCACTAGCAAGAGTTCACAACAATGATTCAGAATGATAGCAACAAAGTTGGGAAGACTGACTACATCAGAGCTAGCATGCAAATCGGTCGACTGCCAGCGCAGCACGGACGACCGCGTTCCAGCACGACAAGGTCGGCCGCGCTCCAGCAGTGCAAAGTCGCGGCTCGCCAACGCTGCAGGTCGACGGCGTGCCAGCATTGCAAGTCGACGGCGCGCCAGCGTTGCACCCGCAGGACAGCAACGCACCTACTTCGCAGGTGCTCGCAGATGATTGGCGTGCTGTGCCTTGTCACCTGTACAGCGCACACACCGAATCACTCTCGTGCTGACGCCTGCACCCTGATCAGCCACGTCGACCTCGAAAAACCACACCGAGGTCGGCCTCGCCACTAACACCTGGACTAATGTCGCGTGCCTCCGCAGAACTCCGTCGCCCGGGTAACTTGGTCGACCTGGAAACCACCAGGTCGGCGTCGAATTCTTCGGGGAAAGGCGACCAGAAGTTGTATGTGCTCGTCGACTTCCCAAGTCGACGACCACCAACCGACTTCACCAAGTCGGCCACTCCTCAGGTCGGCGCCCCCCAAGTCGGTGCCTCTCCTCTTCGTGCCCGTCGACCTCCCAGGTCGACGACCACCTCCAGTCGACCTCACCAGGTCGACCACACCCTTGGTCGACCAACCCCAGGTCGACGACACCCCTGGTCGGCCTGCTCCAGGTCGACCAGCACACTTGTCAGCCGACCTCCCTCTCAAGTCGGCATCCCCAAGTCGGCGTCATCAAGTCGACGCCCTTGCAGTGGGCCCCATGCAGGTCGACCAACCCCGTCGACCAGCTCACCCACTGCTGCAGGTCGGCTGCACCCCTCACACCCGACCACGAATTCGGTACCGCCCAAGCGAGGACGGGGCCAACCACAACTCCCGTTCACGCTGCCGTCCCTTGCGCAGCCGCCGGGTGAGCCGCCGCTGCGGCTTCTGCTCCAGCAACCACTGCAATCGCTACAATGCCGCTGCCGCCAAGACTGCCGTCACTGCAGCTACTGCTCCGCCCACAACTGCCATAGCCTAAGGCCGCCACTGCAGTAGCAACAATAACAGCAGCCGCCACCTTAGGCCCCCCTGCAGCAGCTACAGCAGCATTGGCCACTACCCTCTCCCCCCCCCCCCCACCCTCCCGACCCCCCCCACTGCAGCCGCCACCCTAAGCCACCGCTCCTGCCCCACCTGCACTCACTACTGCTCATGCTCTAAACGTTCCCACCGCTCCCACTCTCCTATATGGCTCCCACTACTGCTCCTGAGTTTGTGCTGCACTTTGACGCGGAGGGTTGAGTGATCGACCTCGATGTGTGGCTGGAGGATTGCAAGCTGTACCTCTATGCTCATGTGCCTGTTGAGTTGCCTGCCCCCGAGCGCCCTACTCCCCTTCACCCTTCCCCCACTGATGATCAGAGGGCGACCTGTGCTGCAGACATGAAAAAGCACTTGATTTGGATCTCTCGTGATGCAGTTGCATGTCTGGCCCTTAGCAGTCTTCTCCCCACCTCCGAGCGTGTCCACTTTTGCGGCATTAAGATGACCACGGACTATCTCGACGCTGTTGTTACCCGCTACTCCACTCCCTCGTCTGCTACCCTAGGCCGTCTGATCATGCCGTTTCTCTTTCCTGACCTGCCCTCGTTTCACACTGTTGTCGATTTCATGACCCACCTTCGCACGCTCGACACTCGCTTCACTGACGCTTGCTCTGCTGGGCAGCTCGTGACTTGCCTCCCAATCTGTCTTGCTACAGCCACATCCACTCTGTCACCTGTGGTGCTGCACTTCCATGTGCAGCAGCATCGTTCGCACGGCCTCGACGACCGTGCGCATTTCTCGTTCTGCCATGCCGTTCTGCTGTGGGGTGTAGGGGCACGTCAAGTCGTGGACGATGCCCGTGCCGTAGATGAAGTCGATGAACTCCTTCCTTAGGTAATGCAAAAGTCGGCTGCTATTTGAAGGTACGGGTTTTAAGAGTGGTCGTAGCGTTCCTTAGGTAATGCAAAAGTCGGCTACTATTTGAAGGTAAGTCACGGGGCCGTCCACGATCATCGCACCATGCGGAGAGTAACTCTACATTGGGAGCTGAACTACGGGGAAAGGCACAGGTTCTAAGAGTGATCGTAGCGTTCCTTAGTGTTCTGTAGCACTTGTGCATTTACAAGGCAAAAACTGCAAGAGTTTCACTAGCAAAGGTTGAGAACAACAATGGTTGAGCAAGCAATGACAAGAATGACTACATCAGAGCCTAGCAACCTAGCAGAAAAGCTGGTCGACTGCTAGCGCAGCATGGTCGACAGTCTGCCAGCATTGCGTAGAGGCACCGCGCCAGCATTGCACAAGTGCGAGTCGCCAACAGAGCAAGTCGGCGGCTTGCCAACGCTGCACCAGGGCGGCTTGCCAACGCTGCAGCAGAGCGGTCTGCCAGCGTTACAACCGCAGGTGACAATAGCGCGCACGGGCGCACCCACTTTGCAGGTGCGCGACGACGGTCGAGCACGTTCTCTACTGTCGCGCAGATGCCAACTCGGCCACGTGCCGACAGTTGTGCTAGAAGTTCCATGTCGACCTCGGCATACCAGCCCGAAGTCGCTTTTGCCATCGCAGCCTCGACGACACTCGCGTGCCTCCGCAGAACCTCATCGAGGAGGTAACCTGGTCGACCAAGTCGACCACCCAGTGCCCTGGTCGACGACCTCCCTCGCCGGCCACTGCTCCTGTCAAAGACCATCCTGGTCGACGAACCCCTCTGTCGACCAACATGGTCATCTGCTACCGTCGAACTTCTATCTTCAACGGCCCCTCGAACATACCGCGCATAGGTCGACGACCCCTTCGTCGACCTCCCCGTCGCACTAGGCCGCTGGCTCCCGTCGACGGCGACCTCGCAGCGGTCTTCTGCAGGTCGACCCACTCCGTCGACCAGCCCGCGTTGACTTCTGCAGATAAGCGGCTGCACCTCCCGCGCACCCGACCACAACGCCGGCTTCGCCCAAGCGAGGGCGGGGCCAACACCGAATCCCCGTCAACAAGTTCACCTCCGGTCGGGTGGAGCAGTTTTGTCGCGTGCAGGGGTTCATTCTGTCGTTCTTGCAGCCGAACATGCCAGAGCAGAATGGGGTCGCTGAGCGTCGCATTGGCCTGATCATGGAGATCGCACGTACCTCCATGTGTCATGTCAGTGCTCTGTCTTTTCTGTGGGCCTTTGCAGTCCGCTACACTACTCGCCAGTTAAATCTGTGACCGCGTTCCTCGCAGCCGCGTGTTTCGCCGACCCTCTTATCGACTGGTTCCCATACGCCAGTATCCGTGTTCCGTGTCTGGTGCTGTCTTGCTCACGTTCGCGATCGTTACGCGAACAAGCTTGAGGCGTGCAATGTCCAATGTGTCTTCCTTGAATTCCCTCTCAAAACTTAGGACTGGCTGTTCGAACACCCTCCCTCCCGCCCCTCCACCTTAATAAAAGAATCATATGTGTACGTGGTTTGGGTTGGAGCAGAACAAGTGAGGAGATGAGAATTGTCGGCATGGACGGAGGGACAGCAAGCACACACAATCAACCCAATTGAAGGAGACGAGAATAATCTAAGGCGAACTCGAACTAGTTTGTCTCGAACTCACTCGAACATTTGTATTACCCACCCAAGCCGAACGTGTTAGCACAACTTTCAACCTAACGCCCTTGCCAACATCACCTTCCCCTCCCAAACCCACATATCATCCTGATTTCTAATTTGGACAATCTAACCCTACACAAAAGTTGTCCTCCCCTAAGCTTCTTTACCGTGCAGCGCAGGTGTAGCTCAGGATCTTGGCGAAATGTCAAATTGACCTAAAATATGAACCAGCGTGCCAAATTGACTCGCTGGTTTTGACGCGAACCCCGTTAGGTTCGCGTCAAATCAATAAACAGGCGAATGCGCCGCCAACGCGACAAACAATCCGAATATGTTCGCCTCCGACGGGGGTGGGTTCGCATTTTTATCATGCCTGGGAGTCAGACATGAGTAAGAAACGTACTGAAGTTCGGTCCGAGCCCGGGCAGGTCCGCTCAGCGCGGGTGTCCCTGTGGCAGGACAGATGCGACGGACCAAAAGCGGCCTGACCCAGGCTGACCCAGGCGAGCTTAACAAGCTAGATCTGGGCTCAGGACGTCAACAACCCGCATGACCAAGGCCAAACTGTGCACATCCTTCGATGGGCTAAAATGTTTGATGTGACATGCACAACCACAAAAAGGGCATGCTCGCTGGGCTAGGCATGAGGAATGGGCCGATCCGCCCCGGCCCGACCCGGCCCATGCCGGATGTAGGCGGGTACGAGTCAGGTTGGTTCGACCATACCTATGTTGGAATATACATGATTGGCGTTTAGTACGGAATCGTACTATAAACTTTCGAATATATGTGGTTCGTACAATTTCCCATTCTAGTAAGCTCAAAAAACGGTGAGTCGGGCAGGGTGAAAAAACAAAATTGGACACGAGAAATAACGCGAGTGGTGATTCGTCTCCTCCTCAATACACGATTAAGTGGACCCAGCCACGAATGGGCCATCTAAGTCGCTATTAGCAGTGACGGGCGAGGCATTGGGGTGGAGACACTCATTGGTACACTACGACTATGGTGAGCATTAAGGAGAGCGTTAGGAAGAGAGCGGTGGACGGGCGGGGGGGGGGGTGGGGGGGGGGGGGGGGAGGGGGGAGGAGTGGGGATGACGGAGACATTCAGAGACGTGCACCAGAATTTGGGATAGCTGATCGCAAACTTGACGGCAATTTTTTCACCTAATTTTTTTCTTGACTGCCCGACCATGCGGCGTATCACATTTTTTCGTATATACGTCTTCATATACACGTCATACGCTTCTTGGGTACGGCTTGTATTCCAACATAGGACCAGAACTCAGGTCAGGTCAGGTCAGGACCCCGGGAAAGTGCACGATTTGGGCCTATTGGGTGAGGCTGGCTATGACACGGGGGGGCAGGTGCCGACCCAGTGGTGGCCTGGTTCGACCAGACCATATGGCTGGCCATAAGCCTTTCCGTATGCCCTTTAAATAAAATGAGGAACAGCACATGCAAGATGAAGACAATTTATGGAAGATAAATGTTAGTGCAGACGAAAAAAGAGGGAGAATGAGGGGGGAGCAAGATGATCCTAGGGATGAGCAAGGTGGCGAACACCTGTTCGGTTGTTTTTCAGCTTAAATCGTTCGCCCGAACGTGTTCGAGGTTCGCCCGAACACGTTCGTGTTCGTGGCGCTGCTGCAGAACGCCCCGTGGCGAACACGAACGTGTTCGAGGTTCGCCCGAACACGCCTCCACAGGCGAACAGCGAACGCCTGTTTTTGCCTAAACTGTTCGCCGAACCGAACAGTGTTCGGTTCGGCAAAAGAGGGTGTTCGACAAGGGGCGAACACGAACATGTTCGTGTTCGCCCTTTGCTCATCCCTAGATGATCCTAGAGCAGTTGGTCAATAGCTTCAACGAGTTGATTCCAACCCTATAACTGGGTAGAAGCAATCATCGCAACAGGGGTTACAGACAATATGCATGGGGGGGCAAGACTCTAGCTGATGGAGTTGAAACCCCTACACAGTCCACTCTAGGGTATCAACACTCGTTGTGCGTGTTTAGCACCCGACTTTAACGAGGTACTTCATACAGAAAAGCGAGCTGACGAAGAGAGAATATGTCACTCGGAATGGAGCCCATCAGGCTGTTGCTAGAAAGAGACCTGTATGCGCGTGATATGGTTTGGGGATGCATAAGTGAGGAGATGAGATTAAAGGGCATGGAGCGAGCGACGGCCACACAGTCGATTTAATTGGGAGCATGCTGGGAGACAGACATGAATTAATCCGAATTGCAGTTCGGTTCATGCTTGAACCAGTTTGAGTTGCACACACAGTTCGACAAAGCTCTTGTTGAACCAAGGCTGGGAGGGGGAGGGCCGGGAAGAGGAATGGCCATGTGCGTATTGATTTAATCACCTGAAACCCCTTGCTTTCTTGCTTGCCTGTGATCTTTGACCATGCACGCTTGGCACCAGGCTCAAACGAAGAGTTTCATACAAATCATCGAGCTGAGAAAGAAATTGAATGTCGCTGGGAATGGATCCCATCAGATTGTTGTTTTCTAAAACCCTGTGCATGCGTGGGATGAGTTGGGGAGGAATTAGTGAGGAGATAAGATTAGTGGGCATGGATCGAACCGAATGACAACAAGAACACACAGACGATCCAATTGGGGGATGAGACGAGCATGGTGGGAGGCCAAAATGAGTAAAAAATGATTCGTTATTGGTTCAAGTCGCACACCCAGTCAGTTTGACGAATTTGTGGTTCTCAACGAACCTGGGCTTGGGCCTTGGGCTGGGTGGGGAGGGCCAGAAAGAGGAGTTGCGGGATATAGAGCTTGGCGTGGCTGCCAATTTCGTGGGCATATACGTTCTGATTACTTGAAACTCTTTGTGTTCTTGCTTGCGTGTGGCATCTGAAATATGTGACGAAGGAGATTCTCTTAAGGGTTTTGAGATTCATGTGATCTTTGATCGTGTACGTTCTTCTTCACCAGCCTGAAACGAGGTGCTTCATACAGAGTACAAAGCTGAAAAAGATTGGAGATGCCGTTGGGAATGGAGCCCGTCAGATTCTTATCTGACAAATTCCTGTGCGTGCGGGTGGGTGGGGGGGGGGGGTGGGGGGGGTGGGGGGGTGTGGGGGGGGAGGGGGGGGGGAGGGGAGGGGGGAGGAGGGAAGGAGAGGCGTTAGAAGTGAGGATGTGAGAACAGTGAGGATGGACCGAGGGACGATACAGAAAGCAACACAAGCAACACAACAGGATGTTTGTACGAGCATGGTAGGAGGCTGTGAGTAGCACTAAGAGGAGAACTAGGCAAGACAAGTGCGAGATTATAAGGGGAAAACGAAGGGTGAGGACAGATGGAAGAAGAAATAAAAGGGGAAGGAGGATTGACCTTTTTTTCTAAAGGTGAACAACACTGGCGTTGGGATTTGGTACCACAGAGCTTTCGTTGGATGCGGCAACCAGCGGTTAAATGTGACTGCCGTGTTGGATTTTTGTTGTTGTGTTATAGTGTACCGACGTGCCCTTCTCTATCTGTATATCAATATGCTTTTTTTCTTAGCTGACAGCGAGCTCAAAGTTTTACCGTGTGGTTCTTACAGAAAAGTTAGTGCAGTGAGAGATGAGATGCTGTCAGGAATAGGCCCATTAAGCTTCGACTTGGGAAACCTACGTGGGGTGGGTGGGTAGGCTGAAATGACGGGGGAGTTGAGGAAACCAGACAGAGACACGAGTGACACGAGCATTGGGAATGGGAATATACGGTGCAGATTCCACCAATGCGCGCAGGAAACAATCAACACCTGCAAGATACTAGCAGCTTGTGCGGAGTCCAATCCATCCCAGTTGGAACATGAGCACACGTACATCATGGTAATCATGCCTGAATTGTCACACGAGAGCTCTGGGATGGCGCCACAGTCCGCACCCACGGCCCAGCCTTGTACTGCTTTTCCCCATGCCTTCCGGCAGTCCTTGAGAAACACAGCTGACAGTTGGGAACAGGAGGGGAGAGAGAGACAGAGACACACGGATGAGGGAAGTTCCAAATCTATCACTGAAGACCAGGGAAACCAGAACGGAATGTCCCCAGATCTACAACACCATCCTGAGGCGCCAATGCTGCCCAAGCCCGATTTGGGAGGGGAGCTTCAATTTCGGCCGCGCATAGCAGCCCAGTCAGAAGCAGGGCTCAGTCACCTGCTGGCCCAGTCAGAAGCAAGCAGGGCTTAGCTCAGTCACCTGCTGGCCTGGATCACCGCAACCGCGGCCCGAGAGAAAACATGTCCCTTTCTCATGTCCCCACTCATGGCAACACTGCAGCAGGCAGACACCACGGGCACCCTTGCTTGCCAGAGCCACCACTCTGGTGGAACGAGGCTTGGCGAAGGCACTGCAGGCCCTATATTCCACACCACTCTGCCCAACCACAAAGCCACTCTCGAGCCCCTTACTACGCGCCACCTTAGTGCTGCGTCCCAACTCCCCTCTGCAGGCTTGACAACTTCCGCACCAACACACCCCTAGCCATTTCGCCGCAGGATTTCTGTCGTGTCCTTGCTAGCTGAAAGCACGGTGTTGGAGCTGAGTGGGATGTGCTTTGAGCACATCCGTGACGCCGCACTTCACCACCCCAACGTGGTCGAGCACCTACTCGCGCTCGAGAACACTGCCCTCGCGGGAAACATCCCAACAGGTGCCGCTGCTCTGCTTACCGCTTCGCACTGCTCGCCACCAAACCGGAGGGAGGGACGCGACCAGTTGCAGTCACTGCACCGACTCATCGCTACGGCCGTGCTGCTCCCCCCCTGCACGTCGGTTCCCAGCCCCGCTCCATTTCGGCGTGACGATCCCAGGTGGGGCGGAAGCTGTCACCCCTCTCCTTTGGCGCTGCAGCCGGGCGTCAGAAACGCCTTTATCGCAGTGGAACGGTCAGTGGTCTTCACGGGTCTGCACGTCACGCCGATGGAGTTCCTCGCATTCACGAAAATGTTGTACGGCTGACCGTCGGTGCTTTTTATTGGCAAGAAATTCGCGTCCAACAACCTCAGCAGCAAACGTGGCGTGCGTCCGGGAAACCTCATGGGATGGGCCCGCTACAATTTGCGATGGCCATGTACGCAGCCCTAAAATACACTGCTGCGAGGCACCATTCAGTCGTCACATTGGCGTACGCACGCCCAGACGACGTCACACTGCTGAGGTCTCCAGCGGAGTGCAACGCTGCCTTCCAGACCCTCACAACGTCCTTACCACCCCTGGGCCTCACGCGGCATGGGGGGAGGGCAGCTTCAAGGCTCTGCGTGACAGCTGCTGCAGTGCCCTTCAAGGCTCTGCGTGACAGCTGCTGCAGTGCCCTTCAAGGCTCTGCGTGACAGCTGCTGCAGTGCCCTTCCCACGGCACCGCCCAGAGCAAGAGCGGATCCGCCTCCAAGCCTCACTCCAACCCACGCTGGGAGGCCTCGGCACCACCGATCCGGCAGCGGAGTGCAGCTTCACCTACCTGGCATCAACGGCAGAGTGCAATGTCACCTACCTACGACGCCCCTCCGCATGCAGCTCGGAGACACCCTCCACCCCCAACTCGCGGCCTTGCTCCCCTTTTTTAGCCTTCCCCATCGGCACTCGCGGCACCTGTGACCCTCTCTACTCGTCTCGCCGTAGCAGAAGCAACCCTTCCGTTGGACGCCCACTCTCACCCAGCTTCGGGAGGGCGCAGACGCCTTGAAGGGTCAGCATGCCCCCTCTTTGGTCAGCAAGCCCCACCTTTGGCTGTCCACACCAGCCGCTACGGGGAACTCCTAGAGCAGAGCAGGGAACTGGTTGATGGCAGTGTCCGTTACCCACTGATGGGCCACACGCAGTGGTTGATGTCCCTGATTGGTGCGGGGGATTGGCTGTTGGCCATCCCCTTTACCCACAGTCGGCGGCTCTCTCCTGCCCACTTCGCATTAGCGCTGGCGTTCTGGCTCGGCCTACCCCAGCCTGCGACGGAACGCTCCTGCTCCGCGCCTGCAAATTTGGATAACCAAGGAAAGGCTCTTGTGACGATGGGTCTCTCCCATCCCGCGCTCAAAGCATCGGCTTTAAACGCGCCGCACACCTACTACTACTAGTAGAAATAGTATCGTCACGCGCCTGCTACTATGGATAACCAAGGAGGAAGGCTCTTGAAATGATGGGTCCCCTCCTCTCTCCCATCCCGCGCTGAAAGCATCGGCTTTAAACGCGCACACCTAGAAACGGCATCGTCACTTGTAGAACACGTGCCGCACGAGTGCTATTCAGTGCATTATGGCAGTGCAAAACCGCGTGATGATGATGGTACCACAGTGAGGTTTGAACGAGGTACGAAAAGGGAGGTTGAGAGGCATTGCTCGCTGTTACCAACTCATCCTAACTCATCGCCGTGCGGCGGTATTACTACCTGTACTACTATCATGGCTGCCTCCGACCTGTCGTTGACGGTCTACTACTAACCATGAGCGCTTACTACACGTCTTTGCCCACTTATTAGTACTACTATCAGTCGCATCGCTACACCGGGCTGCGAGGAGGAAGGGAGGTACAAACTAGAGAAGCATTCTGGTACTGCGCTGGTTGGAGTAGGTAATGCGGCGTTACACTGGTAGTAGTAAGAGCATTGTTCGACGAGGAACGGAGGTACCTTGTGTAGCGTTCAATCTGATTTGCGCATGGCATGGGGAGATGAACGCAGCAAGCCAAAGCGCGGCGGGGAGTGCAAGCCATGGCTTTGGCGGCGGCATTTGCGGCGCGACTGAACTGCTCCGCTACTACTACCACCACCTCTGGTGGTGACGTTAGTACAAGTTGTCACAATAGGAATCCCAGCGAAGGTGGCGGAGGGAAAACGATACTACACGGATGGATTCTAACTTTGAAAGGTGTCACTGAGAACGATACTACACGGATGGATTCTAACTTTGAAAGGTGTCACTGAGATCGCCTCTATCCCAACTTCGAACTTGGAACTGATGGAAGTTGCCTATACAGCACCGAGCGGCTGTGCTTGCTTGGAATGGGCTCACAAAGGCTCGAATCAAGCTTTCTGACTAAACAAAATAAATCATAATAATAATATTAATAGTAATACAAATAATAGTAGTAGTAATAATAATAATAATAATAAAATAAAATAAAATAAAAAATAAGAGCGTATTCCTATCCTCGTATCAAGCGAACCTCATATCAACCTCACACTGAAAATTCCCCTAAACCCAAAACTTCTCGCTAGTCTTATCAGGCAAAAAGTACAATCTTGATACGAGGTACGCTCTAATAACACAAAAGATTAGGTACCATACATGCACAACCGTATCTCAATAAACCAGCTCACTCACAGTATTGCCATACAATATCATACACGGTAGGCTCAAACGAGTCCTTGGCAAACCACACGTGTGTTTTCTATTCAAATCTGGTACTTAATGTTTGGAACCTCTCCGTCCTTCCAGTCTCCCTCTGTCAACCTCGCATCGCCTTCAGGCACTCGGCACGAGTTGCTTGTGTCCAGCAACTGGAGAAACCGAGGCAGCATGGCCTCTACCCTCTTGCTTGGTGCTAATCCCAAAGAGGCTACTAACGCAGTGTTTACTGTAGATGGGCAGCCAGCTCCACTCTCGTTAGTATCACCTCCAGTTGCAGTTGTCCCCCTGTTGCTGGTAGCACGTTCACCATGTGATGTGACTACAGAAGGAGTGAGTGCTGAGGGGGTATCAATGGAAGCCCGCCTCCTGTGAGGGTTGCACGGTGCAGGAGATAGCAATCGCTGCAGCCAGCCAAAAACACCAACACTGCTGCTCCTGCTCCTGCTGCTAGTGGTGCCGCTGCTGCTGTCAGTGGTGCCATCACCGGGTGGTATGTGGAACGTGGAAGACGAAGCAGTGGAAGCAGGGAGAGAGCACCAAGCGCCTGGCATGATGCTGTCAGGCTGCCTCTGCAGTAGCTCCCTGCGAGCATGGGATGGGGGGGATGGGAAGAGGGAGTGTGGGGGGGGGTGGTAAGAGGGATGGGAGGGGAGGGAAACCGAGGCAGGGAGAGAGCATCAGGTGCCTGGCGTGATGCTGTCAGGCTGCCTCTGCAGTAGCTCCCTGCGAGAACAGAAGGGGGACGGGAAGAGGGAAAGATGGGGAAACGGAAACAGGAAGATGGGTGCAAAGAAGGATGAAAATAGGGAACATGGGCGAGGGAGGATGAGGGTATGGAAGGATGGGAAGAAGAGGTGAGATGGGCTAAGGTGAGGTAGAGGAGTTATAGGGAGTGCCAATATGGGTAGTCAACTCCAAATTAGTCAACTCCAGAGTAGTCAACTCCAAATTAGTCAACTTTAAATTAGTCAACTCCAAATTAGTCAACTTTAAATTAGTCAACTCCAAATTAGTCAACTCCAGAGTAGTCAACTCCAAATTAGTCAACTTTAAATTAGTCAACTCCAAATTAGTCAACTCCAGAGTAGTCAACTCCAAATTAGTCAACTTTAAATTAGTCAACTCCAAATTAGTCAACTTTATAATAGTCAACTCCAAATTAGTCAACTCCAAATTAGTCAACTCCAGAGTTCTGTGGATGTACGGTATGGTATCCATTCATTCACAAATCGTTGGACTTTTGTTAACTGGACTGATTCGGTTGACTGTGCATACTGGATTGACTGGGTTAACTGGGCTGACTGGGTTAACTGGATTGACTGGGTTGACTGGGTTGACTGGGATAATTGGGCTGACTGGGTTAACTGGGCTGACTGGGCTGATTTGATTGACTGTGTGGACTGGGCTCTTTGATTGAAAGGCTTGATTTGGTTGAGTGGATTGACTTAGTTGACTTCTGGATTGACTTGGTTGACTTGCTCATACCTATCGATCTTATCCAGAGTTGGTGAGTCACGAGGAAACTTCCTGGCAAAGAGGAAGACGCCACTGGTGAAGGCATCGTAAAACGAGTCGTTCATTTCGAGGGAGTGCTGCATTGGGGAGGAGGAGGGGAGACAAGAGGGGAGGGGAGGGGAGGGGAAGGGAGGGGAGGGGAGTGGAGGGGAGGGAAAGAGAGGGAAGGGGAGGAAAAGGAGCAGTTGAAGCGGAGCGCACTTGGGTGCCGGGGAATTGGGGAGGAGGGGGGTTTTTGAGTTGACTCAGAACGCCACTGGTGAAGGCATCGTAGAAGGTGTCGTTCATCTCGAGGGAGTGCTGCCATGGGGGGAGGGAGGGGATGCAGGACGGCGAAGCGGAGGGAGTTTTGAGTCGACTAAGAACCCCATGAAGGCATTGTAGAAGGAGGCGTTCATCTTGCGGGAGTGCTGCAGTGAGGGGAGGAAGGGGATGGGGAGGGGAGGGGTGAGGAAGGGTGGAGAAAGGGTGCATCGTAGAACGAGTCGTTCATCTCGAGGGAGTGCTGCAGTGGGAGGAGGGGGGGAGACAAGAGGGGAGGGGAGGGGAGGGGAGGGGAGGGAAAGAGAGGGAAGGGGAGGAAATAGAGCAGTCGAAGCGGGGCGCACTTGGCTGCAGCGGAAGGGGGGAGGGAGGGGGGGCTTTTGAGTTGACTCAGAATGCCACTGGTGAAGGCATTGTAGGAGTCGTTCATCTCAAGGGAGTGCTGCCGTGGGGAGAGGGGGAGGGGAAGCAGGGCGTGCAGGGGAGGGGGCAAAAAGGGAGGAGAGGGATGTTTGAGTCGATTCAGAACAGAACTGGTGAAGGCATCATAGAAGGAGTCGTTCATCTCGAGGGAGTGCTGTAAGGGGGGGAAGGGGTGGAGAGGGGAGGAGGGGAGGGGAGGGGAGGAGAGGGGAGGGGAGGAGAGGGGTGGAGAGGGGATGAGAGGGGTGGAGAGGGGAGGAGAGGAGTGGAGAGGGGTGGAGAGGGGGAGGAGAACGGCGAGTGGTGAAGTAGTGCTCGTCCGAGTCCACACTGCCACTACCATACCCCCCACCAGGAACGTACCGGGCTGCCCTTGGCAAAGGTGGCGAAATGCAGGCTGGCGTTAAGGAGGGAATGGTTGAAGCGGGCTGTCTGGCAGGCGACGGTGGTGAAGTAGTGCTCGTCTGAGTCGATGACGTCAGCCATGTACATGAGGATGCGGCGCGGCCAGCTGGCGGGCTCCCATAGGACGTAGCGCAGGAAGGGGCGCGAGGCCTTGATCCAGTTGCAACCTGGCGAGGGGGGAGTGTATATGGGGGAAGGGGACGAAGGGGAAGGGAACGAGGGGGAGGAGACGGGATGGCAAGTCAAGCAGAAGCGCAGGAAGGGCCGCGACGCCTTGATCCAGTTGCAGCCTGCGCAGTATCGGAAGGGGAGAAGAGGAAGAGGAGGGGACGGGGGGAAAGGAAGAGGGAGATGGAAAGTCAAGCAGAGGGTGAAGGAAGGGACGAGATGCCTTGATCCAGTTGCAGCCTGGAGAGGAGGGGCTCCCAAGGACGATGCACAGGAAAGGGGGAGACTCCTTGGTGCGGTAGCAGGATGGAGAGGGGCGAGTGGATGGCGGAGGGGAGTGAAAGGGGAAGGGAAGAAGGGAAGGGGGAAAAGATGGCAAGTCAACACGAAGCAGAAAAAATGGGGGACGAGGGGACGAGGGGGCGGGGCATCAGTTGCAGCCTGCAGTGCGGAATGGGGGAAGGGGAGGGAGGAGAGGGGAAGTGAGGGGAGGGGAGGGGAGGGGAGGGTAAGAGAGGGGAGGGGATGGGAGGGGAGGGGAAGTGAGGGGAGGGAAGGGGAGGGAAGGGGAGGGGAGGGGAGGGGAGGGGGATGGCAAGCCAATAAGAAGGAATGAGGGGCAGACGGAAGGATACGTTGACTGTGAGGGCGCTCATGGCAATGTTCAGCTGGCAGAGGAGCGGCACGGGAAGGGCCGGGCACGGGAAGGGCTGGGCACGGGAAGGGCCGGGCACGGGATGGGGGGGAGGTGGTGTAATATGGAAGATGAAGGGCAGGCAGGCGCCAAGACGTCAAGCTATTCGGCTGGCGCACTGTTCAGCTGGCCAGGCACGGGAAGGGGCGGAAGCAGCCTCGGTGAAGCACAGTGCGATTCAATTGCAGGCTGGAGCTTTGAGTCGACTCAAAACACGACTCATCTGATTTTACGCTGCCGTGCAGGGTGAGAGTCAACGCGAGTCAACCCACCCATGAAGACGTGGAAGCGAGTGGTAGCGGGTAGAACGTTCCTCATGAGCTTGTATCTTGGATTCAACTCTAGTCAACTCTGGTCAACACTAGCTGAGCCTGTACCTTGGAGTCAATGAAAGCCAACTCGAGTACATTAGGTCAGCGCAAGTCAACACGGGTCAACTCGGGTCAACACGGGTCCACTTGAGTCAACACGGGTCAACACGGATCAGCACAGGTCAACTCACCCATGAAGACGTGGAAGCGAGTGGCAGCAGCACTGTGTCTTGAGTTCAACTCAGGTCAACCCAAGTCAACGCAAGTCAGCACAGGTCAACTCACCCATGAAGACGTGGAAGCGAGTAGCAGCGGGTCGCACGTCCCGCATGAGCTTGTGCCCTCTGTGCGCCTGGAAGAGCGCTCTGTCCAGATTCACTGCACGCTGCCGGTAGCTGGCAAGCAGAGCAGAGAATGGGTACGAGTGGGGGATGAGAGGGGGGGGGGGGAGATGTGAGGAAGAGGGGGGTGGAGTAGGGAGAGCGTGTGCCCTCTGTGCGCCCTGTCCAGCTTCACTGCGCGGTAGCTAGCGAGCAGATAGGAAAAGGGGAGGGTAGGGGGTTGGGGAAGGTGGGGGGGGTTGGGGAAGGTGGGGGGGGTTGGGGAAGGTGGGGGGTTGGGGAAGGTGGGGGGTTGGGGAAGGTGGGGGGTTGGGGAAGGAAGAGCTCCCTGTCCAGGTTCACTGCACGCGCCGGTACCTGGCGAGCAGGGGGAGGGGGAAGGCGGGAGGGGCGGGATGCGGTGTTAGGACTTGTGGAGGGGGAAGGGAGAGGGGGAGGGCGGGGGAAGGGAATGGAAAGCGGGAGGGGCAAGGCGAAGGGGGAGCGGGAGGGGAAGGGGAAGGGGAGTGAGGGGGCGGCATGGGTCTCCTGATTTAAATCCAATAGAGAAGTTCTGGGCAATTTTACGCGTAACTTAAGAAAAGTAATGAAACGATTTGAGAAAAGGGAAAGGGAACGACAGAAAACGGGAGGGTTTCCTTGTGACTGCTCGTCCAGGTTTGTTGCATGCTGGCGGTGGGGGTTTCAGGCAGGTGCATTGAGAGAAGCATGCTTGAGAGACTTCATAGTCAACTCAAATTTCACAATAACTACTTCGGCCACTGGAGGGAGGAGTTTATGAAAAGCAAGGCGGGCATGTCAAGTGACAGCAAGAGAAGCAAGAGACGCAAGAGGGAGGGGAAGGTTAGGTAGGGAGATGGCGAACGGGGGTCCATTGCATTCTGAATTTTGACACTCTGACAGCAACGATGTGTAGGGATGAAACACTCGTGGAAGAACTGTAACGGGAAACCATACGAGTAAACGCATGTGACTATAACGAGAACACAAGACTATAACGAAGCCAGCGACTCACACGAATCGGGTGGTCCATGAACGAGAGGCCGCGATCCACGTGCGAAAACGGACGAGCAAAAGCGTGTGACTATAACGGGGACATAACACGTGGATCCACTCACTCGAATCGGTGCTCGACGCTGTGGTCCATGAAGGAGAGGCTGCGATCCACGTGCGAAAAGAGATAGAGCATGTCTGGAGAGTAAGGGCGAGGAGGTGAGGAGGGGCAGGGTGACGAGAGCAATTGATTGATCAACTCACATGCGAAAGCAGATACAGCATGTCTGGAAAGGGAGTGAGAGGAGAGTGAGGGTGAAGGGGGTGAGGGGGGTGAAGGGGGTGAGGGGGGTTAGGGGTGAGGTTGAGGGGGGTGAACAGGATGAGAGGGGATGAGGGGGCCAAGATGCGGAGCGCGTCTGCATGGGGTTGAAGATTGAAGCATTGCGATGAGACAACTACTGGTGCTTACATAATCCAAGTCCACTTCGCGAGAAGGTCTTTGCGAGTGCAAGAGAGAGCACTACTCTCAGAACAGGGAGCGTTCTTCGTGCCATTTTGTGAGTGCGAAGCACGCGCCGTCAAGTTGCCACCGCTTGAGTCGAGGATGTGGGGAAGAACGGCGATCGCGAGGGGAAAGCGGGCAACATAAAACACCTCGAAGCGTACCAAAGCTTGTCGTTACACTCACCATCTTGTGACATTAACGGGTAGTCCGCAGCGCTTAGGTTGATAAACCAGTCCCACTGCTCGCCGCTCGCTATATGCACATGCGCGAGGCGCAGCGTCGCGGACAGCAGCGTCGATCCCTGGTAAGTGACTACTTCGGGGTCCGGAATTACGACAATATTCGCGCGACTCGACAGCGCGGGGTGGGCGGCGATCTTTGTCTTTAGCGCGAGGGTTTCCTCCGGGTCGTCGATATGGACGGCATAGTGGTTCAACGGGTGGTAGATGGCGAGTAAGAGGCGCACCACGCGCGCGCTGTCGTTTTTCGCGCCGAGAATGCCGTACGCCAGGCGGGGAGTACCTCCGCCGCCCTTTCCGCCAGTTGGACCATACGCGCTGTCTTTTTCCCGCCACCATTCCCGCCGCTGAGCTCTCGCCACCGGCAGCGCGCGCGTCATCTGCCGGGCGTTCAACTACAACCGACACGGACGGCTGTAGCGCCCCAACCGCCTGTAATCCTCCCCCGCCGCTACCGCCGCCCGGCTGTAGCCCCGCGAGCACGATCGCGTCCACCGCGTCGCGGTCGGGCGGGCAGGCGGGCCAGAGGTGGGGGTTGGCGGAGAGGAGGACGAGATTGACGAAGAGAAGCGCACCGAGCACGATGGCGGGGAGCGTGCAGCGGAAGGCGGAGAGGACGTTCGCGGAAGCGGAGTGGGCGGAGGGTTTGGCGGAAGGGGAGAGCTGGTGGAACGGGTCGCGCGGGGAGCTGGCGTTTCCGTCGGGTAACCAGCCCATGGCGTTCAACTAGGGAACCTGGACTCAGTTTCGGGAGAGGTCAACCCTAAACACGGAAACCCACATTTTCTTTAGGGTTGATGTCTCCCCGAGACGCATCCCTTCCCGATTGGGTTTTAGTTTGTTTCGGTCAGGTAAAGGGATATTTTTTCCAGTGGCTTGCGAAATTCTGACACGTGGGTGAATGTGGGACCGAGTTCTGTGCTGTTGCCATAATGTTCCTGTCGGAGTGGCGGAGTGGCGGAAAGTGCCCGCATATAGCACTGTAGTCCCCTTGAAAGCGCAGGGTCGCTAGTAGTACCCCTGCCAAAGCTACTTACCTTTTTTTTTCCGTGTGTTTTCTAACTTTCCAAATTTGTGACACGTGGGTGAATGTGGGACCGAGTTCTGTGTTGTTGCCATAATGTTCATGTCGGAGTGGCGGAGGGGCGGAAAGTGCCCGCAACTAGCACTGTAGTCCCCTTGAAAGCGCAGGGTCGCTAGTAGTACCCCTGCGAAAGCTACTTACCCGAATCTGAACCACAAAGAAAGAACCCCTTGAATTGCTTGGTTGAACACTTGGTTCGGCAAACTCGTGTTGCTGCTTGACTCCTTAACAAATTACTGTATAAGAGGTTTGTGCCCAACAAAATCAGCAATATACCTTACTAAGTCATCCTATATCGAGCAAGATCTGGAGAGGGACGCACTAGCGCGTTACAGAACCACTCGTCTCTGGTTCAAAACGGGGAACTCATCTGATTTCACTGCCTCTATAGACTTCACTGTAGTTATCTGGGTTTGGTGATCGGAGCGGTGGTTGCTTGTGACGAGATTTCAAGACAGAAAGCTAGGGTTTGGTTCTCTTTGAGCGCTGCTAGGCTCAGATACCCACCAGCAAGACCTAGTCCGTCCGTCCAGTGATTCTGTCCTAAGCCAGCGCGATCCGTGCCCCGCTGTTCATTTCTCTTGAAATCCTATCAGGGATTTCGGTCTTACTGATCTGCAGCCATGCCGAAGAATAAGGGAAAGGGAGGTAAGAACAGGAAGAGAGGAAAGAACGAGGCCGATGACGAGAAGCGCGAGCTGGTTTTTAAGGAGGATGGGCAGGAATACGCCCAGGTGATGCGTATGCTCGGTAACGGTCGCTGCGAGGCGCTTTGCATCGACGGGATTAAGCGGCTCTCCCACATCCGAGGCAAAATGCATAAGAAGGTGTGGATCGCTGCAGGAGATATTATCCTGGTTGGGCTTCGGGATTACCAAGACGACAAGGCCGACGTCATCCTGAAGTATCAACCGGACGAGGCGCGTCTTCTAAAGGCGTATGGAGAATTGCCGGATAATATCAGGTTGAATGAGGGTATTGCCGGAGGCATGGACGAAGAGGGTGAAGACGGCGGAGACGACTATATCGAATTCGAGGATGAAGACATTGACAGGATATAGAATTGTGACTATGACGGGCGGATGCAGGCCCTGGTGCATAGCAGCTGGTTTTGGGGATTATGTGGAGCTATAGACGACGTTTAGTTTTTCAATGTTATGATTTTGAGGGGTTCTTTAGGTTGTTTCTTACCTGATCTTCAGCCACGGAAGCGGGGATGCTTATAACGCTCCATGAGTGGGCTTCTTGCCCTCTTGTTGTAAGACCTGTAAGGGCGTATAACATTTTTGTCACCATGAAACAACCGTGTGGCAATTGTTGAAAGTACCGGTAAATACGGTACCAGGGCCTCAGATTGGTTTTTGGGCCTCTGTTCCCTTGGAGTAACACTGTTATTTCAGAGTTCCAAAAATAAAAACTGAGCAATCAGTGTGCCAAAAAGTAGAACACTGATCAGCATTATGATCAAAATCCTAAGGATTAAGAATTACGCCATTGTTTCCAACGCTTCTAATAATAAACACATAAAACATTCACATTTCATCATCATCGTCATCATCGCTCAATGTCATGTGCCCGGGTGCGATACTGTATGTGGTGCTTTTCAGGGGCATAGCATTTCGCAGTCCCATATGATCTGGTCACCGCTCGCACGTCACTCTTAGCATTTCGCAGAATTTCGTTCCCAGCTACCTTCGCCATGGGCTGGTTACCCGGAGGAAACGCCACCACCCCGCGCGACACATTCCATCAGCTCTCCCCTTCCGCCAAACCCTCCGCCCACTCCGCTTCCGCGCACGTCATCTCCTCCTTCCGCTGCACGCTCCCCGCCATCGTGCTCGGCGCGCTTCTCTTCGGCAATCTCCTCCTTTTCTCCGCCAACCCCCGCCTCTGGCCCGCCTGTCCGCCCGACCGCGACGCCGTTGACGCGCTCGTGCTTGCGGGGCTTCAGCCGCGCGGCGCCAGCGGGGGGGGGGGGGGGGGGGGGGCTACAGGCGGTAGGGCGCTACAGCCGTCCGTGTCGTTGGTAGTGGAACGGCCGGCAAATGACGCGGGCGCTGCCGGCGGCGAGAGCGGCGCGGCGGGGGAAGCGACGGAATGGTGGCGGAAAAAAGACAGCGCGTATAGTCCGACTGGCGGAAAAGGTGGCGGCGGTACTCCCCCCCTGGCGTACGGCATTCTCAGCGCGAAAAACGACAGCGCGCGCGCCGCGCGCCTCTTACTCGCCATCTACCACCCGTTGAACCACTACGCGGCCCGCGTGGATATTGACGACCCGGAGGAAACTCTCGCGCTAAAGACAAAGATCGCCGCCCACCCCGCGCTCTCGAGGCGCGCGAATATTGTCGTGATTCCGGACCCCGAAGTAGTCACGTACCAGGGGTCGACGCTGCTGTCCGCGACGCTGCGCCTCGCGCATGTGCATATAGCGAGCGGCGTGCAGTGGGACTGGTTTATCAACCTGAGCGCCGCGGACTACCCGTTAATGTCACAAGATGGTGAGTAAAACGAATCGCTTTGGTGCGTCCCCGACGGGTCTTTTGTTGATACCTTTCAAGAAGGTGTTTTTTTTTTTTTTTTTTCCCCGTCGTGATCGCTGGCGGTTGTTCCCACGTTCGCTTACTCAAGTGGTTTCACAAAATGGCTCCAAGCACGCCTCGCGTGTTCTCTCTGGTGCACTTGTATTAGACTCATCAGATGCACTTCAAACAAAAAGTCAACAATGGATTGTCTTGTACAGACGCGCTCCCTTCACCCTCACTCTCCTCACCCTACAGACGCGTTCCCCTCAATAACAGATTGAGCCGCCCGTCTTTATCGACTGCTTCGATCCTCGACCCCCGTTCAGACGCCCTCTCCCGCCCCCTGCTCCATATCTCACCCCCTCATCCTCCTCACCCCCCTCACCCCACTCACCGCACTCACCCCCCCCAACCCCCCTCACCCCCCTCACCCCCCTCACTCCGCAACCCCCTCACCTCTCCATCCCCACCCAACTCACTTTCACTCTCCTCACCCCGCTCAAACCCCCTCATTCCCCTCACCCTCCTCACGATCTCCCACCTCACTCTCACTCCCTCCTCTCCAGACATGCTCTATTTGTTTCCGCTCCTCCTCATCCCTTCCGCATGTGCGCAGACATGCTCTATCTCTTCTCGCACGTGGATCGCAGCCTCTCTTTCATGGACACAGCGTCGAGCACCGATTCGAGTGAGTCGCCGCCTGGCCTCGTACGAGTCTAGTGTCCCCGTTATATTCACACTGCAACGGATTGCCGTTCCGCATCTCCCTACCTCACCTTCCCCTCCCTCTTTCGTCTCTTAGAATGCCCGCGTTGCTTTTCATACTCCCTACATTGGCCGAAGTATATATTGTGAATTTCGAGTTGACTAAGAAGTTCCCCAAGCATGCTTCTCTCAATGCACCTGCCTGGAACCCCACATGCCACCACCACGCAACGAATCTAGACGAGTAGGCACAACGAAACTTCCACTCCCCCCTTTTCTGTCGTTCCCTTTCCCCACTGCCCCAGACAGAAGCAAGGAAGGGCACGAATGAAACAAGCTCTACCACCCCATGCCGCCACCCCCACTCCCCTGCCCCTTCCCGCTTCCCCTCCCGCTTCTCTTCCCCTTCCCACGCCCTCCCCCTCTCCCTTACCCCTTCACAAGTCCTAACACCGCATCCCGCCCCTCCCCCCTTCCCCCTTCCTCTGCCCGCCAGCTACCGGCAGCGTGCAGTGAACCTGGACAGGGAGCTCTTCCTTCCCCAACCCCCCACCCTCCCCACACTCTCCCCCCATCCCTACCCCTTAAACTTTCTGCTCGCTTGCTACCGCGCAGTGAAGCAGGACAGGGCGCACAGAGAGCACACGCTCCCCATACTCCTTCCCCCTCTTCCTCACAACTCCCCCCTCACCCCCCTCCTTCCTCCCCCCGCCCCCCCCACTCTCATCCCCCACCCGTACCCATTCTCTGCTCTGCTTTCCAGCTACCGGCAGCGTGCAGTGAATCTGGACAGAGCGTTGTTCCAGGCGCACAGAGGGCACAAGCTCTTCTACTCATTGCGCAATCCCCCCTCTTTCCTTCCCCCTTATGTCCCCTCCCCCACCAGCTACCGCCAGCGTGCAGTGAATCTGGACAGAGCGCTGTTCCAGGCGCACAGAGGGCACAAGCTCATGTGGGACGTGCGGCCTGCTGCCACTCGCTTCCACGTCTTCATGGGTGAGTTGACTCGCGTAGCTTCAACGCGCAGTGCTGATAAGGGACGTGCGGCCCGCTGCCATCGCTTCCATGTTTTCATGAGTGAATCGCCCTGGGCTGACTTCTGTTGACTTGTGCTGACCTGAGTTGACTTGACTTGAGTTGACCTCATGCACAGTGCTCATGCGGGACGTGCGGCGCGGCCTGCTGCCACTCGCTTCCATGTCTTCATGGGTGAGTCGACTCACGTTGAGTTGACTCGCATTGGTGCGGCCTTCTGCCAATTGTTGACTTCAATGCATTCGTGAATACTCGCCGCGCACTCTAGGGCCGCGAGTAACTCCCACCGTGCTTGGACTGTGCTGCATCTCACCCCTTCCTGTAGCCTCATCTGCCAAACAGCCTGCAAGGCTAGCGGCTTGCCATCTTTTCCTGCTGCCTGCCTTTCACTTTCCATTTCGTACCACCCTCCCCCCACCCCCGCCTGCTCCTGCCTCCAATTGACCTTCCATCTCCTCCATCCTCCGCCCTTCCCACTTGCACCCCTCCTGTCGGATCCTCTCCCCCCCTGCTCTTGCGCACCTCTCCAGTCGGATCCGCGTATTCCCCCTCCTTCCCCATTCACACCTCAACACTGCGCAGCCTGCAATTGGATCAAGGCGTCCTGCGCCCCTCACAGGCAGCCATGAGCGCCCTGACAGTCAATCTGTCCTCTCGCCTGGCCCCCATTGCTTCTTATTGGCTTGTCATCCCCCTCCCCTCCCCTTCCCTCCCCTCCCCTCCCCTCCCCTCCCCTCCACTCCACTCCGCTCCCCTCCACTCCACTCCCCTCCTCTCCCCTCCCCTTCCCTCCCCACATTCCGCACTGCAGGCTGCAACTGATGGCCCGCCCCCTCTTCCCATCCTCCCCCATTCCGTCTGCTTCGTGTTGACTTGCCATCTCTTCCACGCCCCTTTCACTTTCCTCCTGTCTGCAGGCTGCAACTGGATGAATTCGTCGCTTCTTGCTACCGCTTCTGAAGAGTCGCTCCACCGCTTGACTACTCTGCTGCACCTTCCACCTCCCCCTCTCCCTCCCGTCTCCCTCTCCCCGCTCCCCTGCCGCCAACCACACCTCTCCAGGCTGCAACTGGATCAAGGCATCGTGTCCCTTTTTGCGCTACGTCCTATGGGAGCCCGCCACTTGAACCCCCCCCTCCTCCCACAGAAGCCCACCACTCGTCCCTCATCCACTAATTCCTATGGAAGCCCACCGCTTAAATCCTCCTCGTCACCTTCCACCCCACTCACACCTCTCCAGGCTGCAACTGGATCAAGGCGTCTCGTCCCTTCCTGCGATACGTCCTATGGGAGCCCTTCCTCCCCTCTCTACGGGAGTTCACCACCGGCACCCTACATGCCATGTCCCATTCCCCCTCGCCCTCCCCACCGCACGCGCTCCAGGTTGCAACTGGATCAAGGCGTCGCGCCCCTTCCTGCGAGACGTTTTATGGTAGCCCACCAGCTGAACTCTCGGCTGTACCTTTCACCCCTTCACTCTGTCGCGTAATTAACACACAGCTGAAGGCTGGGCGTGAATTACACAGCAGCTATGGTGAGGGTGTATTATATTTCATTTTGGCAATTTGTTTCGTTTGTGTGTTTGGAGTGTTTTCGTTTTTGTACTTTACAGAGCCGAGTGGGTGGGGAAATGTCGAGGGAGTTGGTGGAGGCGCTAGCCTGGCAAAGAAATTCGATTCCTTGCCAGCCAGCCTGGATGGCGGTGCATTGCCAGTGGGGTGGGCGAGCAACCAGCTAGCACCTAGGTGCCTCTGCGACCAGCTGGGCTGGCTCGCGATCAGGCGCTAGGGCCAGTAGGAGTACTCTGCTCTAGGCAGGCAGGGAGGAGGATGAATACCAAGGACCTGCTTGGACTCGTTGCTTTTTGCCTGTTTGTTTCTCGTAATGCTACAATTCGTTTCCCTAACCAAGGAATCAAGTAGCTAGGAGAAGCATAGGCAATTCGGAAGGCCCTTGCTAGGGAGTTCACAGCTGATTGCAAACAGGCAAAAAGCAACGAGTCCAAGCAGGTGTCATACGTGTGGGGAGAAGGGTCATATCCGAAAGGATTGTGCAGCAGGCGTGATCTGCGACACATGCGGGGTGAAGGGGCACTTTTGGCGTGATTGTCCCAAAGCTCCAACCTGTTCAACATGCGGCAAGAAGGGGCATGCAGAGGAAAGGTGTTACAGTCGGAGGGACAGGGGGGAAGGGAAAAGCGCACGGGAAGCGCAGCTGGAAATGGAAATGGCAAAGCTGAAGGCACAGATGAGCAAGATGGAGGTGAGCGAAGATCCCGAGAAGGCGCTGTTGGCATGGGAAGAAGGAGAGTGGGATTCAGCAGATAAGGAGCCACCGGAGCACTCAATGGTGGCCATGGCGCCTAGATCCCGAGAGGACCTAGGACTGAGGAGTGGAGGGAAGGACGACAGAGTGGAACTCAAGACCTACGCACGGAGGCCGAGAGGAGTGCAGCATGGAGCTGGAGAGAAGAGGAGCGCTCGCCGCCGCCCGGAGGAGAGGCTGGCCTGTCAATCCACTGCTCTGGTGGTAGAGGCGGGCGCAGTGGCAGTGAAGGGGGTGAAAGTGGAGCACGCGGTGGCAGACACCGGCGCGCAGAGTGTGCTGATCGGCAAGCGGTTGGGAGAAAAGCTCAAGGCACAAGGAGACCTGGAGACGGTGGAGAAGGGCATGTTGATCATGACGGCAGAGGGAGGCGCGCCGAAATGGATGCCCTGCACGAAGGAGCCGATTGAGATAACATTGTAGCCAGGGGAGAAGACAGAAACACGCATCAGAGTGCAGTGTGGACTAACAGAGTCAGAAGATTACGATGTGCTGCTGGGCATGGATGTACTGTACAAGATCGGTACAACGATGTGCACCTAGGAAGAAAAACTGCTGTACTACACCAAGTACTGGGAAGAGGAGAGTCCTCGGGGAGAGCTACTGGTGAAATTCGTCAGGACAGAGCCACGGAGGGCCTGGAGGGCGGGAGGCGTGAAGGAACGGGAAGGGACGAGAGAGGGGACAAGGGTACAGCAGGGTGAGAGGAAGAGCAGCGCAAGCCTGCCAGACTACAGCATATGTCTGGTGGAACTGTTTGGGGGGCTGGGAGCAGGTCTAGCGGCGGCGCTGGAGGCAGGGCTGGAGGTGCGCCGGTGGATCTACGTGGAGGTGGACCCCGAGGTGAGGAGGATGGCATGGGGGCATGCCAGGCTGCTGCAAGAACGCTACCCCGCCCAACTTTCGGCAGAGACAGTGCAACGCGCCATGAAAGAAGGGACCTGGGACGTGCGGCAGATTACACGCGAGACCGTGCGGATCTGGGGCGAAGTGGATCTGCTGGTAGCGGGATGGGAGTGCCAAGGCACTTCGCGGGCCGGCAAGGGGAGAGGAATGCAAGACAGCAGGACCGCATTACTAGACAAACTGCTGGAGATCATGCAGTGGATGAGAGAAGAAGGGAAGGAATATGCGTATGTGCTGGAGCATGTGGACATGACTGGGGACATGAGGGAGCCTGTGCGGGCAGTAAGAGAGAAGGTGGAAGGGTGCCTGGGAAGGGGGGTCAGTTGGGATGGTGCGCAGATGGGGGCGCGGTGCCACAGGTCCAGGATGTACTGGCAGAACGTGCTGCCGGAACGAGAATTGAGGGCGAGGGCAGCAAGAGTGGTTAGGGACGACAGCAGAAGGGTGGAAGACATACTGGAGCCCGGGCGAGTGGCAGCGCCGGTGGTAAAGCCCGATCACCCCAGACAGCACCAATGCAACCATGTGGGAGAACCCCGGCGCGCCCTGCCCACACTAGTAGCGTATCAAGGGGCAAGGGGATTCGTGGAGACGGAGGGAGGTCCAGGGCCCGGAATGATCTATGATCACCGCAGGAAGAAGTGGGAGGAGCCCACTGCGCTGGAGCGAGAGCTAGCCATGGGTTATGCAGCCGGAGCGACAGCAGCAGCCGGGGTGGATGAGCAGGCCAGGAGGGCAGCGCTGGGGAGAGCCATGGACCAGCACTCACTGCAGTGGCTGATCAAGGAGATGGCGAAGGGAGTCAGGGCGGAGCCGGGGGTAAGGAGGCAGCCAGCGTACGCGGCACAAGGGACCAAAGGGGGGGTCGCCATGGCTGGGGGCAAGGAAGGGAAAGGACAGGAAAAGGAATGGGAGTTACCAGAGGACCTGGCACCGGAGGTTTCCAAAAGCATAAGGAAGCTGCTGGCAGAGCATCGCAACACCTTTGCCTACAGCCTGAAGGAGCTTGGTAGATACAAGGGAGGAGAACTAGAGATCAACTTGACCTCAGCAATCCCTACCTACCAGCGGAAGAGGCGGATGAGTGCACAGGATATCAGCATCTGCAAGGAGAAGTATGCAGAGCTGCTGGCGGCGGGACTCATCCGCCCCTCCGAGTCCAGCTATGCGGCAGCCACAGTGGTGGCGGCCAGGACCGACCTTACAGGCGAAGTCCTATCCAGGCGGATGTGCGGTGATTACCGCGCTTTGAACAAAATCACAGAGCCTGATCGCTACCCCATGCCACAGGCAGAGGACATCTTCGACAGATTGGAAGGAGCGATCATCTTCACAACGCTAGATCTCAGGCAGGGCTTCAACCAGATCAAGATAAGGGAGGAAGATAGGAGGAAAACTGCATTTCATGGCGCGGATGGGTTGTATGAGTGGGTTACAATGCCGTTTGGCCTGCGCAATGCATCTGCAGTGTTCCAACGGGCGATGGACCAGGTGCTGAAAGGGGTGCCAGCAGCGGCCTGCTACATTGATGATGTGCTCATCTATAGCAGCAGTGACGAGCAGCATGAACACGACCTGAGAATGGCGCTGGAGGCCATAGCAGCAGCCGGGCTTACATGCCATCCAGAAAAATGCAGGATAGCGCGCAGGACGGTGGCCTACCTCGGGTTTGAAGTAAGAGGAGGTCGCCTGGCAATCCAGGAGGCAAAGGTGAAGGTGTTGGACAGGCTGGCACCACCAAGAGACAAGGCCGGGCTGCGGGCGCTGTTGGGCTTCCTAAACTACTATAGGAAGTTCGTGCCCAACTTCAGCCGTCGCGCGCACGTTCTGAATCAACTGCTGCGGGAAGGGAAGAGCTGGCAGTGGGGCCAAGAAGAAGAAGCAGCACGGCAGGACCTGCTAGAAGCTGTGAAGACCGGGACGCTGCTGCAGATCCCGAGAGATGATGCACCATTCGTGCTACACACTGACTGGAGTAGTACCGGGATAGGGGCGGTCCTGTGCCAGGAGATAGAAGGGGAAGAGAGGGTTGTGGCGTTCGCGAGCAGAAGCTGCAGCCCCACCGAGGCCAACTACTGCTCCTACGAGGGGGAGGGGTTAGCAGCCGTGTGGGGGATCACACATTTCAAGGTTTACCTGCAGGGGCGTCACTTCGTGTTGGTCACCGATCACCAGCCACTGCTGTGGCTGATGAAGAACCAAGACTTCACTGGCCGCAATGCGCGGTGGGCTATGCGGCTACTGAAGTTTGATTTTGACATCAAGCATCGGCCAGGCAAGACCCTCCAGCATGCAGATGGGCTGTCACGGAATCCCCCACCCGGGAAGCCAGCGGCGCAACTAGCAGCAGTGGCGCTGGGGGGGGTCCGGGAGGCAGGGCTCACCAAGGGGGAGAAGCGCCAGCTGGACGTGTGGGAGGATGAAGAGACGCTCCGCTGGATAAAAGGGGAGCAGCAGGTGGAGGCGGTGACAAGCGAGCGGGCCAGGTCCAGGGGACTGCACTACAGATGGTTCCAGGAGCAGCTGCAGCTGCGAACAGACGAGGGGTGGAAGGTGGTGCCAAGAAAGGAAGAGCGGGCCGCGATCATGCAGAAGGTACACAGAAGGTACACAGAAGGCTGGGGCACTACGGTGCAGCATGCACACAACAGCTGCTGAGCACCATGTACTAGTGGGCTGGGATCAGGAAGGATGTGGTTGCTCTGGTAGCCGCCTGCGAGGCCTGCCAGAGGAACAAGGCGGCGTTAGAGAAGGGAAGGGAGGAACTGCAGTCTCTGCCGATCAGGGGTTTGGGGTTCCGCTGGTCCCTTGATCTGGCAGGGGAACTGCCTCTGTCACGAAAGGGCAAGCAGTACATTCTCGTGATGGTCGAGCATACTAGTAAGTGGGTGGAAGCGAGGGCGTTGGCAAGCAAGAGCAGTGGGCTGGTGGCAGAAGCTTTCAAGGAGCAAGTGCTAACGCGTTTCGGGGCATGTGGGGAGGTACTTACCGATCAGGGGACGGAGTTCCAGGGGCAGTTCGAGGACCTGCTGCAGGAGATGGGCATCGCCCACAGGCAGACGTCTCGCTATCATCCCCAGTCGGACGGGCTGACCGAGCGACTGATACAGACGCTGAAGAGAGGGCTGCGGGCGTACAGTGAGACGCGGAAACGAGAGTGGGATGAAGAACTGCACTGGGTATTGGCAGGATACAGGTTTGCTAAGCAAGCAGCTCTACGGGACCTGTCTCCTTACCATTTGCTGTATGGGAGAGACC